CCAGACTCATCAAGCAAAAAGGAGGACTCAATAGAATTAGAAATGAAAAAGGAGAAGTAACAACTGACACTGCAGAAATACAGAAGATCGTGAGAGATCAAGCAATTCTATGCCAATAAAATGGACAACTTGGAAGAAATGGACAAATTCTTAGAAATGCACTGCCTGCCAAGACTGAATCAGGAAGAAATAGAAAATGTGAACAGACAAATCACAAGCACTGAAATTGAAACTGTGATTCATAATCTTCCAACAAACAGAAGCCCTGGGCCAGAGGGCTTCACAAGTGAATTCCATCAAACATTTAGAGAAGAGCTAACACCTATCCTTCTCAAACTCTTCCAAAATATAGCAGAGGGAGGAACACTCCTAAACTCATTCTACGAGGCCACCATCACCTTGATACCAAAACCAGACAAGGATGTCACAAAGAAACCTACAGGCCAATATCACTGATGAACACAGATGCAAAAATCCTCAACAAAATACTAGCAAACAGAATCCAACAACACATTAAAAGGGTCATCCACCATGATCAAGTGGGCTTTATTCCACGAATGCAACGATTCTTCAATATACGCAAATCAATCAACGTGACACACCATATTAACAAACTGAAGGAGAAAAACCATATGGTCATCTCAATAGATGCAGAGAAAGATTTTGACAAAATTCAACACACATTTATGATAAAAACCCTGCAGAAAGTAGGCATAGAGGGAACTTTCAACATAATAAAGGCCATATATGACAAACCCACAACCAACATCGTCCACAGTGGTGAAAAACTGAAACCATTTCCACTAAGATCAGGAACAAGACAAGGTTGCCCACTCTCACCACTTTTATTCGACATAGTTTTGGAAGTTTTCTCCACAGCAACAAGAGAAGAAAATGAAATAAAAGGACTCAAATCGGGAAAGAAGTAAAGCTGTCACTTTTTGCAAATGACATGATACTATATATAGAAAAGCCTAAAGATGCTACCAGAAAATTACTAGAGCTAATCAATGAATCTGGTAAAGTAGCAGAATACAAAATTAATGCACAAAAATCTGTGGCGTTCCGATACACTAATGATGAAAAATTTGAAAGTGAAATCAACAAAACAATCCCATTTACCATTGCGACAAAAAGAATAAAATATCTAGGAATAAACCTACCTGAGACAAAGACCTGTATGCAGAAAATTATGACACTGATGAAAGAAATTAAAGATGATACAAAGAGATGGAGAGATATACCATGTTCTTGGATTGGAAAAATCAACATTGTGAAAATGACGGTACTACCCAAAGCAATCCACAGATTCAATGCAATCCCTATCAGACTACCACTGGCATTTTTCACAGAACTCGAACAAAAAACCTCACAATTTGTATGGAAACACAAAAGACCCCGAATAGCCAAAGCAATTTGAGGACAAAAAACGGAACTGGAGGAATCAGGCTTCCTGACTTTAGACTATACTACAAACCTACAGAAATCAAGACAGTATGGTACTGGCACAAAAATAGAAAGATAGATCAGTGGAACAGGACAGAAAGCCCAGAGATAAACCCACGCATATATGGTCACCTTATCTTTGATTAAGGAGGTAGGAATGTACAGTGGATACAGGACAGCTTCTTCAATAAGTGGTGCTGGGAAAACTGGACAGGTAGGTACATGTAAAAGTATGAGATTAGATCACTCCTTAACACCATACACAAAAATAAGGTCAAAATGGATTAAAAGACCTATATGTAAGGTCAGAAACTATCAAACTTTTAGTGGAAAACATAGGCAGAACACTCTGACATAAATCACAGCAAGATCCTTTTTGACCCGCCTCCTAGATAAATGCAAATAAAAATAACAATAAATGGGACCTAATGAAACTTCAAAGCTTTTGCACAGCAAATGAAACCATAAACAAGACCAAAAGACAACCCTCAGAATGGGAGAAAATATTTGCAAATGAAGCAACTGACAAAGGATTAATCTCTAATATTTACAAGCAGCTCATGCAGCTCAATAACAAAAAACACAAAACAACCCAATCCAAAAATGGGCAGAAGACCTAAATAGACATTCCTCCAAAGAAGATATACAGACTGCCAACAAACACATGAAAGAATGCTCAACATCAATCATTAGAGAAATGCAAATCAAAACTACAGTGAGATATCATTTCACACCAGTCAGAATGGCCATCATCAAGAAATCTAGAAACAGTAAATGCTGGAGAGGGTGTGGAGAAAAGGTAACACTCTTGCACTGCTGGTGGGAATGTGAATTGATAGAGCCACAATGGAGAACAGCATGGAGGTTCCTTAAAAAACTACAAATAGAAGTGCCATATGACCCAGGAATCCCACTAGTGGGCATATACCCTGAGAAAACCATAATTCATAAAGATCATGTACCAAAATGTTCACTGCAGCTCTATTTACAATAGCCTGGAGATGGAAACAACCTAAGTGTCCATCATCAGATGAATGGATAAAGAATATGTGGCACATATATACAATGGAATATTAGCCCCAGAAAGAGAGGAAATTGAGTCACTTGTAGTGAGGTGGATCGACTTAGAATCTGTCATACAGACTGAAGTAAGTCAGAAAGAGAAAGACAAATACCATATGTTAACACACATATATGGAATTTAAGGAAAAAAATGTCATTGACAACCTAGAGGTAAGACAGGAATAAAGACACACCTACTAGAGAATGGACTTGAGGATATGCGGAGGGGAAGTGTCACCTGTGACAAAGCGCGAGAAAGGCATGGACATATATACACCAACAAATGTAAAGTAGATAGCTAGTGGGAAGCAGCCGCATAGCACAGAGAGATCAACTAGGGGCTTTGTGACCTCCTGGAGGGGTGGGATAGGGAGGTTGGGAGGGAGGGAGACCCAAGAAGGAAGAGAAATTGGAACACATGTATATGTATAACTGATTCACTTTGTTATAAAGCAGAAATTAACACACCATTATAAAGCAATCATACTCTAATAAAGATGTAAAAAAAAAAGCAGATCACAACCTTCCATTGGAGTTTGCTCACCATACACAAAAATAAACTCAAAATGGTTTTAAGACTTAAATATACGGCATGAAAACTCCTAGAAGAGGACATAGGCAAACCATTCTCTGACATAAATTGTACCGTTTTCTTAGGTTTGTCTCCCAAGGGAATAGAAGTAAACGCAAAAATAAATGAATGGTACCTAGTCAAACTTATAAGCTTTTGCACAGCAAAGGAAATGACAAACAAAATGAAAATACAACATACGGACGGGGAGAAAATATTTGCAAATCATGCGACTGACAAGGGCTTACTTTCCAAAATTTACAAACAACTCAAGAAAGACAGACATTATAGTCTACAAACAATAAATGTTGGACAGAAAAGGAAACTCTCCTACACTCTTGGTGGGAGTGTAAATTGGTGAAGCCCCCATGGAAAACAGTAGGAAGTTTCCTCAAAAAACTAAAAATAAACTTACCATATGATCTAGCAATCCCACTCCTAGGCATATACCCAGATAAAACTATAATTTAAAAAGTTGCATGCATCCCTATGAGCATTGCAGCACTATTTACAATAGTAAACTGCACACACACACACACACACACACACACACACAGTGGACCATTACTCAGCAATCAGAAAGAATGAAATAACACCATCTGCAGCAACATGATGGACCTAGAGATTATCATACTATGTGAAGTGAGAAAGAGGAAGACAAATGCCATATGCCATCACTTACATGTGGAATCTAAAATATGACACAAATAAAGATACCTATGAAAAGACATTATTACAAGGAAAACATACAGCTGGCTAACAGTCACATGAAAATATGCTCAACACCATTAATCATTAGAGATATGCAAATTAAAGACACAATGAGATGTTTCCTCAACCCGTCAGAATGGCTATTAAAATGACGACAGGATTTCCCTGATGGCGCAGTGGTTGAGAGTCCACCTGCCAATTCAGGGGACTCAGGTTCTTGCACGGGTCCGGGAAGATCCCAAGTGCCGCAGAGCGGCTGGGCCCATGAGCCATGGCCGCTGGGCCTGCGTGTCCGGAGCCTGTGCTCTGCAACAGGAGAGGCCGCTGCAGTGAGAGGCCCGCGTACCGCAAAAAAAAAATGACCACAAATAACAAGTGATAGCGAAGATGTGGAGAAAAGGGAACCCTTGTACTCTGTCGGTGGGAATAATTGGTGTGGTCACTGTGGAAACAATATAGAGTTTTCTCAAAAAGCTAAAAATACATATACCACAGCAATTTGATTCCAGGGTATTTATCTGAAAAAAATGAAAACAATAATTCAAAGAGATACCTGCACTTCAATGTTCATAGCAACACTATTTACAGTAGCCAAGATATGGAAGCACCCTAAATGTCCATCAACAAATGAATAGTTTAAGAAGTTGTGGTGTATCTGTATATACGTGTGTGTGTGTGTGTGTGTGTGTGTGTGTGTGTGTGTATATACATATATATATATATTAAATACTACTCAGTAATAAAAATGAAATTTTGCCGTTTGCAACAACATGGATGAACTTGGACGCTATTATGCTAAGTGAAATAAGTCAGACAAATACTGTATGATCTCATTTATATGTGCAATTTAAAAATAGAGAGTAAATTGATATATACCAGGCAGGGTGGGGGAAATGGGGAGATGTTCATCAAAGAGTACAAACTTTCAGATATAAGATGAATTAATTTTGGGACTCTAATATACGTCCCAATACTGTGTTACATACCTAAAATCCTGTGAGTGTAGATTTTAAATGTTTTCACAATAACAAGAAAAAATGGTAATTATGTGACATGAAGGATGTGTTACCTAACATTATTATGGAAGCATTTTGTCATATATACATTGTATATGTTAAACTTACAAAATATTATATGTCAAATACATTTCAATTAAGGTAGGAAATGAAGTTTGATAACCTTGCTCCAGGGTTAATAAGTACTCCCCAAGCACACATCATTCCACATGCCTTTTACCCTAACATTCCTTTTGGTTGTGTACCAAAATACACTCATGAGTATGATAAGAAGCTAATCCTAGAGAACACAGCTTTGCTTACATGATGAGGCACTTCACAGATTACATCTGGCCACCCAAGAATTTTCACATGAAACACTTGATTTGCAATAACTGGTGATATGTGTAAAGCTGTAATCTGCCCAGCAGGGCTGCTTTCACTGACTGATAAAATCTGTCACTCACACGTTATGATTTTAGGGACTCCAAGAGGTATACCCCTTTCCTCTACCCCATATCTTCCTTCAAAAAAAAGTTCTTTACACAAGGACAGAAATAATAATCTCAGGCTCTCATCATGGTAAAATCTATTATTTACTTCAAAGTTATACTAATAACGTTATCACTTATCTTCCATTTTATGATACCTTCAAGTAATTGAACAGATAAATCCGATTTTTATGGTCTACTTTTAACCATGTTAGATTTATATTTCCTTTAAGGAGTAATTCTAGTTCAACCTCGGGCAAAATAACTCTCATCTCTTCTACCTTAATGGTAAAATGGAGACTAAATATTAAAGATACCTACTTCTTGGGTCTGGTGTGTTGTGTGCTGGTACAGGAAAAGCTCTGCTCAACATCAGATTCTATATTAACACAGATTAACATGGGTTGTTAATATGCAGCAAAGAGAAGTGACTCTGGCTGTTGAATATTGATACTCCTTAATGGAATCAAGTCCATTGCAGTGCAGGTGGCATAGCTAGGTATGAGCATTGCTGAAAAAGAATCATTTTTAAACCAGAAGGCAAGAAGTCTTCACCAATATTTCCAGCTCGGTGGAGGAAAAAAACATGCACTAATGAAAAACCTCAAAAGCACACACGTGAATCCCAGAGGCCATAAAAATATTGCCTAGGGCTTCCCTGGTGGCGCAGTTGTTGAGAGTCTGCCTGCTAGTGCAGGGGACACGGGTTCGAGTCCTGGTCTGGGAGGATCCCACATACCGTGGAGTAACTAGGCCCATGAACCACAGCTACTGAGCCTGCGTGTCTGGATCCTGTGCTACACAACAATAGAGGCCGCGATAGTGAGAGGCCCATGCACCGCGAAGAGTGGCCCCCACTTGCCACAACTAGAGAAAGCCCTCACACAGAAACGAAGACCCAACACAGCAAAAATAAATAAATGAAAAAATATATATATATTGCCTACACAGGTACAGATTCTTAAAAACAAGGGATCAAGATGGCTCAGAAATATCTTCCACTGTTTATTTATTGCTATTTATAATGCTGAAAGGTCTTTCAGGGTTAGTTTTTCAGATGAGACATTACCCTGCCAGGGAAAGCAAAAGGAAATTCTTGAGAGATTGTAGGACATGGGAAAGTGGATGGGGAGAGCGTCTGAAAAGAACTGCAGTTTGAAGCAACACAGCATAACAATGACCAGGATGGGGTGAGGATTCTGAGAAAAGTGCAGGGAGGAGAAAATTCAGTTAGAAAGTTCACTATTTAAGGATGTGCACACAGACCACAGACATGGGCAATTCATATATAGCCAAAATTTCACATGTATGCTATCACTATGCAAGGAGAAATGTAAAAATGTGGGAAGTGAAATAAGGTCCCTGGTGTCAATTGTAAATGTTATCAACTTGGAAATAAGATTATACCCTGGTAGTTAAACCGGTGCAATCTACACCTAAATAATGAGATTTATCACGTGAAAAAATAACCCAGTGATCAGTCTGGAAATAATTGAGAGACCCCGAACCAGACTGCAATCTGAGAGAAGAATGGAATGAGATGGCAACTATGGAGCCTGAGAACGTAGTTGTGTGTTGCTTACTGTTTTAGGGAGGCAAGCTGAAACTTTACAGTCGGTTGAGGGTCTGGGTCCTGGATAAAGACGCTGCCATTGCTCACTCAGCACTGCCCAGTCTCTGAGATAATCATGAGCCACTAGTCTGAGCATCTAGCTCAGTGGTAATGACCATTTTATCATAAAAACACATTATTCTGGTATATACAAACCAAAAATACTGTCTGGAAATCTGTGAAAGTAGTGTTTGGCTCAGTGGGAGAGGAATTTGTAGTTAGACGGTCTACATTTGAATTTATTTCAAACTGTACACCATCTCCTGGAAAACAACAGTGTATTCTTTAGCCAAATTTAATTATATAACGAGTGTTTTCAATAATACACCATCAACCTGCCTTCATCTGTCCTTTGTCTAGCTTTACTTGTTAACTACAAAATGCAATTTTCTTCTCAGACTGTCATGAGCCTGTCCTCCATCCACTTCACACCCTGTGGACCCTGATACGGACAGGGTTGATTAATGTGTGGTTATTTTCATTAATGTTTATGAGGGGAGGGAAGCGAGGTTGTCCTAGTAGTGTAAAGAAGATAATGCGTGTGCTGTAAATAGCTGTGAGGGAGGTAGCGGTTAGGGTCAGTAATAGGGCTCAGGCGTTGGTATAAGACGAAGTGGCGGCTTCGATGATGGGGTCTTTAGAGTAGTATCCTGTGAGGGATGGTATTCCTGTGAGTGCTAAACAGCCAATGATAAGGGGGTTGTGGTGAAGGGAAGGGTTTTGTATAGCCTTCCTATTTTTCGAATGTCTTGTTCATTGTTTAGATTATGAATGATGGAGCCATATCATAAGAATAATATGGCTTTGAAAAAGGCGTGTGTGCAAATGTGTAGAAACGCCAGGTAAGGCTGGTTAAGACCAATTGTTACTATTATTAGGCCAAGTTGGCTGGAGGTGGAGAAAGCAATAATTTTTTTGATGTCGTTTTGGGTGAGGGCACAAATGGCTATGAATAAAGTGGTGAGGGCACATAGAGTAAGGGTTATTGTTTGAATGGGTTTGTTATTCTCCATTAACGGGTAGAAACGGATAAGTAGGAAAATCCCTGCTACGACTATTGTGCTTCAGTGGAGTAAAGCTGAGACTGGGCTGGGACCTTCTATTGCTGAAGGGAGTCAAGGGTGTAGTCCAAATCGGGCTGATTTTCCAGCTGCGGCTAATGAGTCCTATGAGGCGAAGATTTGAAGAGTTTTGGTTGAGTATGAAAATTTGTTGTAAGTCTCATGCGTTTATGTTAAATAAAAATCATGCTATTGATATGAGGAATCCGATATCTCCGATGAGATTATATAAGATTGCTTGAAGGGCGGCTGTATTTGCCTCTGTCCGTCCGAATCATCAGCCAGTTAGCAAGAAGGATATAATACCTACTCCTACTCATCCAATGAAGAGTTAAGAGATTGTTAGCTGTAACGAGGATGAGTATAATGATGAGGCAGATAAGTAGGTATTTGAAGAATTGGTTGATGTGGGGGGTCAGAGTGTATATATCATATTGAGAATTCCATGATAGAATACTACGGGTAGTAGTACGGGTATGAATATGAGTGAAAAGTAGTCTATTTTGAAGCTAAGTGATAGTTTAAGAGTTTGGATGGTAATTCAGTGTCAGTTTGAAATGAATGCTTCTTGGTTTGTGTGAAGAAATTTTATTATTGGGATCACGCTAGTGATGAAGGCGGAAAGGGTAATATTTTTTTACATAGTGTTGGTACTTGCTGCTTTTATAGAGGTTTGTGTTAGATATTATGATGGGGCAGTTAATATTAGTAATGTGAATAAAGCCGAGGAAGTAAATAGGCTTATTACTTTTATTTGGAGTTGCACCAATTTTTTGTTTCCTAAGACAAATGGATAACTGTTATCCTTTAAAAGTTTAAAAAAGCCACATTGTTAAGTGTGGGGGTTTGAGTTAACAGTTCTTGCAGTACTTTTTCAGTAAGAAGTTTTGATCTTCTATTACTAGCTTCAAAAACTAGTGTTCTCTTTAAACTATACTTACAATAAAGAGATCCTAAGATGATTTTGAGGTTTAGCGATAGGAGTAGTAAGGGAATAATGTGTAGGGCTATTAAGGCGTGTTCTCGTGTGAAACAGGGGGTGAGGTTGTTGATATGGTATGTTTGCCGCGTTGTGTCGTGATTAACATATATAGGGAGTAGAGAGCTGTGATTACAATATTTGTTCCTATTAGGATAATAGTGAGGTTTGATCATGAGAAAGCTGATATAATTACAAGTAGTTCTCCGATTAGGTTGATGGTAAGGAGTAGAGCGAGATTTGTTAGGCTTGCTAGTACTCATCAGGTCGCTATTAGTGGGAGAAAGATTTGTAGGCCTCGTGCTAGGATTCTGGTTCGGCTATGGATTCGTTCATAGTTCGAGTTTGCTAGACAGAATAATATAGAGGATGTAAGGCCATGGGCGATTATTAGAGCGGTAGCTCCTAAGTAGCTTCAGGGGGTTTGGATGAGGATAGCTGAGATAACAAGTGCCATGTTGCTGACTGAAGTGTATGCGATGTGTGACTTTAGGTCTGTTTGATGTCAACAGATGGAGCTGGTTATGATTATTCCTCATAAGGACAGCATGAAAAAAGGGTAAGCTATATGTTCTATTGGAGGGTTAAGAATTGATGTAATTCGTAATATGCCATAGCCTCCAAGTTTTAGTAGTGCAGCTGCAAGGACTATTGAACCTGCGATGGGGGCTTCTACGTGTGCTTTCGGTAGTCAAAGATGTAGTCCGTAGAGGGGTATTTTTACTGGAAAAGCTATTATGCAGGCTAATCATATGAGGATGTTGGATCAGGAAGTGGATAGTGGTTGGGCTCAGTGTTGTAATAATAGAAAATTTAGAGATCCTGATGTGTTTTGTAAGTATGTTAGTGCTACTAGTAAGTGGAGTGATATAAGTGTGTAAGTGTGTAAAATAGGAAGTAGAGTCCTCCATTGAGTCGTAATAATGAGCGGGTAATAATGATGAGAGTGGGGATTACTGTAGCTTCAAATATGATGTAGAATAAGATTAGTTCTGTGGCAGTGAATGTTATAATTAGAAGAGTTTGTAATGTAACTAGTATTGTAAAGTTTTTTTCAGACAAGTGGTTCTATGAGAAGGTTGGACTGGCTTGCTATTAGTATTAAGGGAAGGAGTCATATTGTCAGAATTAGGAGTGGTGTGGAAAGGGGGTCGGAAAATAATATTAGAGAGTAATTGAGACGGTTGTCGATGTATTGATTAAGATTAGGCTTGTAAAGCTGATTAGTAAACTGTGGGTTGTGGTATTAATTCAGATAGAGTTGTTTTTTGATAATCAAGTTAGGGGTATCAGTATGATGGTAGGAATGATGAATTTTAGATTGGAGATAATGATTTTGTACGTAGTCGCTGCTGGATGTGTTGGAGATTATGACTAGTAGGGTTAGTCCGATGGCTGCTTCTCAGGCTGCAAATAGTAGGAGAATAATTGGTATCATGCTGGCTAGGGTGAAGTGTGAGTTTAGGATTGTGAGAGCTGACAGAATGAATAGTGATAGTATTACGCCCTCTAAGCAGAGTAGTGCGGATATGAGGTGGAATCGGTATATTAATAATCCCGTAATCCCGTAAAGTGAAGGCTACTAGGATATTTATATGGATTAGAGACACTTGGTATTTGTGAGTTTGGATCACAGTCTAGTGAGTCGAAACCACTTGCTTTATTTTAAACTAGGTACCATATTTGTCTCATTCTAAGCCCTTTTGTGTTCATTCGTAAGCTAAGCTAGCTGCTAGTAGAGATTAAGAATAAGGTCATTGTGAGTATTATTTTTAGGTTGTTTGGGTTGCTCAGGGTAGGGGAAGTAGGAGGGCGATTTGTAAGTCAAAGAGAAGAAAGGTAATTGCTACTAGGAAGAATTTTATGGAGAAAGGTAGGCGAGCAGATCCTATTGGGTCAAAACCACATTCGTAGGTGCTTGTTTTTTCTGCGTACACGTTTAGCTGAGGTAGTGAAAAAGCTATAAATACAAATAGTAAGGCTAGAGTTGTATTTGTTAGTAGTGTTAGTAGGAGGTTTATTGTTCTTTTTCGGGGTGCACCGAAACTAACTGGAAGTCAGTTGTACTTGTTAATACTAAAAGGACTATGAACCTTATCAATAGATAGATACATAGAGAAATAGTCATACGTCTACGAAATGTCAGTATCAAGCAGCGGCTTCGAAGCCGAAGTGGTGGCTTGAAGTAAAGTGGAATTTTATTTGGCGTATAAAACAAACAATGAGCAAAGTGGATCACGGCTACAAAGAAAGTGGATCCGTATATTCCGTCTGCGATGGTGAATGGGGCTTCATAGTATTCTGATGCTTGGAGTAGGGTGAAATAACGGCCGAACATGATTGTGATGAAAAGAGCTTCAAGTATGTGTTTGCGGTTTCCGTCTATGAGACTGTGATGCGCTCAAGTGATATATACACCAGAGGCTAGTAACACAGAGGTATTGAGAAGTGGAATTTCTAGAGGACTTAGAGGGTGGATACCTGTTGGTGGTCAGCATCTGCCTAGTTCAGGAGTGGGGACAAGGCTTGAGTGGTAAAAGGCTCAGAAAAATCCTGTAAAATATAGGACTTCTGATAGGATAAATAAGATTATTCCATATAGAAGTCCTTTTTGGACAGTTGGTGTGTGGTGGCCTTGGAAAGTGCTTTCTCGGATAATATCTCGTCATCATTGATATATTGTTAAAATATTTGTTAGTAAGCTTAAAACTAGCAGGGTTATTGAGTTGAAGTGGAACCACATGATTAAGCCCGATGTTATAAGAAGTGCTGAGAGAGCTCCTGTAAGGGGTCAAGGACTGGGATTTACTATGTGGTATGAGTGGGTTTTGTGGGTCATTATGTATTGTCATGCAAATATAGGCTTACTAGTAGAGTGAATACGTAGGCTTGAATTAAGGCGACAGCGAATTCGAGGATGGTTAATAGAGTGAGGATAGTGAATGTGATGAGGGCTGTGAATAGGCTGGTACTTATTAGTTTGAGAGTTGTTTTTCCGATTAGATGTAATAAGTGGCCTGCTGTAATGGCGGTTAGTCGTACGGCTAGTGCTACTGGTTGAATAAGTAGGAAGGTGGGCTAAAGATATTTTTGCCTTATTGCGGAAACCTGTAATAACGATACCAGCTCATAGAGGAATAGTTATTCTTAAATTTATTGAGAGTTGGGTGGTAGGTGTAAATGAGTGGGGTAATATTCCAAGATGTGTAGAGACAATAAATAGGAGAAGTGAGATGAGAGTGATCAGGTTTGTCCTTTGAGGTTTTGTGTATTGATTAGTTGTTTTGAGGTAAGTTTGGTTAATCATTGTTGGATGGAAACTGTGCGATTGTTAATTAGTCGATTTGGTGTTGGGAATAATATAGTGGGGAATATAATGATTAGAGTGGTGATAGGGATACCTAGTATTATTGGGACTGTGAAAGGGGTAAATAGATTTTCGTTCATGTGATGTTTCAAGATTGTTGTAATTTGGTGTGTGTCAATTTGGGGTAGGGGGAGAAATGTTTTGAAATTTTTAGCTGGAATAGTGTGAAGAGGGTTAGGAATATAGATAGGATAGTAAGGAGTCATGTTGATGTATCCAGTTGTGGCATGTCATTAAGGGGAATTTTACGGCTCTCAACCTTTAACTAAAAAAGTTAACGCTAGTTTAGTTTCTTAATGAGGTTATAGTTATAGTTATATATATAGTTATAGTTATATAGCAGATCATTTTTCAAAGTTCTCTAGGCGAACTAGTTCGAGAACGATTGGTATGAAGCTGTGATTTGAGCCACAGATTTCTGAACACTGTCCGTAAAATAGACCTGGTCGTGTTGATATTAAAGTTGTTTGGTTTAGGCGTCCAGGGATTGCATCTGTTTTTAGGCTTAGGGAAGGGACAGCTCATGAGTGTAGTACGTCTTCGGAGGAGACTAATATTCAGATTGTTATTTGTATGGGTAGGCTCATTCGATTGTCCACTTCTAGTAATCGTAGTTCTCAGTTTTAGGTCTGAGGTTGGAATTATGTAGGAGTCGAAGTTTAGGTCTTCATTGTCGGTGTATTCATAACTTCAGTATCACTGGTGTCCTATTTTTACGGTGAGAGGGATTATTGATTTCGTCTATTATGTAGAGAATTCGTAGGGAGGGCAGGGCGATTAGGATTAAGATGATGGCTGGGAGGATGGTTCAAATAATTTCTACTTCTTGGGCGTCTATTGTATGTGTGTTAGTTTGGTTGTAAGTATTAGGGTGCTAATGTAGAGAACTATAGAGCTAATTAGGAAAACGATTATTAATGTGTGATCATGAAAGTGTAGGAGTTCTTCTGTAATAGGTGATGTTGCGTCTTGGAAGCCTACTTGGAAAGGATATGCCATGGAGATATACAGGATTTTCACATGTGATTTACCTTTGACAAAGTTATGTAAGGCTTTACTAATATCTCATTTATAAAGAAAGACAGTGGTTTTTTGGTATTTGCTTGAAACCTATTAGAGGGGCTCGATTCCTTCCTATCTTGACCATTTTGGGTTGACGTATGCTGGTTTTTCAAATGTATGGTATGGTGGAGGACACCCTTTTAGTCATTCAAGGTTTGTGGAGGTGAGGTCTACTGTTAATACCTCTCGTTTGGATGTGAATGTTTCTCAGATGAAAATTATTAGTATATCTGCTGTCAGTGAGATGAAAGAGCCTATTGATGAGATAGTGTTTCATGTGTAGGTGTCTGGGTAGTTGGAGTATCGTCGAGGTATACCGGATAGGCCTAGGAAGTGTTGCGGGAAGAATGTTAGGTTTACACCTACGTATGTAATTATAAAGTGGATTTTTGTTCCTGTTGGGTTGAGTGTATATCCTGAAATTAGTGGGAATCAGTGGACAAACCCCCCTATGATGGCGAAGACAGCTCCTATTGAAGGTACGTAGCGAAAGTGGGAGACTACGTAGTAGATATCGTGGAGAACAGTATCTAGTGATGAGTTAGCTAGGATGATGCCAGTTAGGCCACCTACTGTAAATAGGAAAATAAAGCCTAGGGCTCATATTAGAGCTGGAGATCAATTCCCTCCGTGAAGTGTTGCTAGTCAACTAAAGACCTTTACTCTTGTGGGGATAGCAATAATTATAGTGGCTGATGTAAAGTATGCTCGTGTATCTACGTCTACTCTGAATATATGATGAGCCAATACGATAAAGCCTAGGAACCCAATAGAAACCATAGCTCAAACTATTCCTATATATCCGAAAGGTTCTTTTTTCCCTGAGGTTACAATATATGAAATTATTCCGAAGCCAGGTAAGATCACAATATATACTTTGGGGTGACCAAAGAATCAAAATAAGTGTTAGTAGAGGATTGGGTCACCTCCTCCTGCGGGATCCAAAAAGGTTGTTTAAGTTTCGGTCAGTCAACAGTATGGTAATTCCGGCTGCTAGGACTGGTAGTGATAATAAGAGTAATACTACTGTAACTAGGACTGATCATACGAAGAGGGGTGTTTGGTACTGGGTTATAGCGGGTGTTTTTATATTAAAAAAGGTTGTAATGAAACTGATGGCTCCAAGGATTGAGGATATGCCGGCTAGATGTAGAGAGAAAATGGTAAGGTCTACTGAGGCTCCTGCATGTGCTAGATTTCCGGCTAGAGGGGGGTATATAGTTCAGCCCGTGCCTGCGCCGGCTTCAGGTATTCAGGATGCTATTAGTAGTAGAAAGGAAGGAGGAAGTAGTCAGAAGCTTATGTTATTTATACGGGGAAAAGCTATGTCAGGTGTCCCAATTATTAGAGGGACTAGTCAGTTTCCGAACCCACCAATTAGGTATGACCATGAAAAAAATTATCACGAAGGCATGGGCTGTTACTAGTACGTTGTAAACTTGGTCATCTCCGATTAGTTTGCCAGGTTGACCTAGTTCAACGCGAATTAATAAGCCTAGGCCAGTGCCTACTATTCCTGCTCAGGCACCAAATAACAGGTATAAGGTATCAATGTCTTTGTTGAGAATAGTCAGCGATTTATGAACATAGGTAAAAAGGCAGAGTAGGTATTAGACTGTAAATCTGAAGACAGGGATAAAGTCCTCTTTTTGCCAAGTCCTGTGGTGAATTATCATTTTGAATTGCAAATTCAAGGAAGCAGCTTCAATACTGCTGGGACTTCTCCCGCTTTTTTATCTCGTGGCGGGAGAAGTAGATTGAAGCCAGTTGACTAGGGTATTTAGCTGTTAACTAAAAGTTCGTGGGAGATGTATGCCTCCAATCTAGTGAGGATTTAGCTTAAAGTGTTTGATTTGCATTCAATTGATGTAAGGTACAGTCTTGCAATCCTTATTGGGCAGGGGTTAAGTAAATTATACTTGCGTAAGGCTTTGAAGGCTCTTGGTCTGATTTAACCTAAACTCCTATAGTAAGATGGAGAATGTTGGTGTGAGCGGTAAGAGTACTGTGGATAATACGATTGCTGTTGGTAGAAGGATTGTTCGTTTTGTGGAGTGAAATTGTCATTTTCTTTTTATGTTGTTTGTAGAGGGAAATAGAGTTATTGCTGTGGAGTAGGCGAGGTGTATGTAGAAATATAGATTGAGTAGTGCTGTGATGGCTATGAAGGTTGGTATAACAAGAATTTCGTTTTTTGTTAGTTCTTGAATAATTATTCATTTGGGTATGAATCCTGTAAGTGGGGGAAGTCCTCTTATGGAGAGTAAGGTGAGTATGGTGAGGGTTGTGATGACAGGCATTATATTTCATGTTTGGGATAATGATAGTGTGGTGGTGGTTGACTTTTGGATGAATAACATGAATATGGTGAAAGTTATTGTGATGTAGATTAGTAAATTTAGTAAAGTCAGGATTGGGTTGTACAGTAGGATAGTTGTTATTCATCCTATGTGGGCGATTGATGAGTAGGCTATAATCTTTCGGAGTTGCGTTTGGTTTAGTCCGCCTCATCTTCCGATTAGGATAGAGAGTAGAGAGAGTTAATACTAGGTGTAGATTAATTGATGGTGAGATTTGATAGAGGATTGAAAGGGGTGCAAATTTTTGTCATGTAAGTAGGATTAGGCTTGTAGTTAGGGGGACACCTCTGGTACTCAGAAGTGGAAGGGGGATAGTCCTAGTTTAATAGCTAGGGCCACTGTTAGTAGGATGGATGCTGTTGGGTTGAATAATTTTGTGATGGTTCATTGGCCGGAATGTAGTAGGTTAATGACAACTGCTAGTATGAGTAGTGTGGATGCGGTGGTTTGTGTTAGGAATTATTTAGTTGAGGCTTCTGTGGCTCGGGGGTTAGCATTTTTTAATTATGATGGGGATGATGGCTATTGTATTTATTTCTAGTGCAATTCGGGCGAATAGTCAGTGGGAGCTAATAGTTACGATTATTTTCCTAGGATGAGGATTATTAGGATAATGATGAGGATGAATGGGCTGACCTTACTTTAGATTATAGTATGACATGGTAGCACGGAGAATTTTGAATTCTTAGGGGTAGGTTAGATTCTTATTATTTTAGAAATAAGAGGGTTTGAACCTCTATTATTTACTCTATCAAAGTAACTCTTTTGTCAGACATGTTTCTTATCTTTTATGTTTGAGAGGGGATGCCTGTTGTTATAATGGGTAGTGAGACGTGTCATATACAGAGGGCTAGTGTTGGAGGAAACTTTTTCAGAGTAGGTGTATTTGTATTAGTTGATCATATCGGAATCCGGGGTCGGATGCTCGAATTCATAGGAAAGATATTGTGAGTAGTAGTGTTTTGAGAATGAGGTTTGTTGTGTGTAGTTCTGGTGTGTAGGGGTCGTGGAATGCTCCTAGAAAGAGGATAGTTGTGAATATATTTATTATGATGATGTTGGCATATTCTGCTAGGAAGAATAGGGCGAAATGGCCTGCTGCATAGTCCACATTGAAGCCGGATACGAGTTCTGATTCTCCTGTTAGGTCGAAGGGGGCCCGGTTAGTTTCTGCTAGGGTAGAAATGAATCATATTATGGTTAATGGTCATGAAGGAAAAAAATAGTCATAGTTGTTCTTGTGTGGTAGTTAGTGTGGATACGGTAAAGGAGCCGTTTATTGGAGTACTGATAGGAGGATGATGGCTAGTGTTACTTCGTATGAGATTGTGCTACTGCTCAGAGAACTCCAAATAGTGCGTATTTTGAGTTGGAAGCTCAGCCGCATCATAGGATAAACTAGACGGTTAGGTTGGATATTGCTAGCATGAATAGTACTCCTAGGTTTATGTTGATGAGGGGATATGGTTTGGGTGGGGGCTTCATACTGTGAGAGCTAAGGTTAGGGCAATTGCGGGTGCGATAATGAATATAGCGGTGGAGGATGTGGCTGGTCGTAGGGGTTCTTTAGGGAATAGTTTGCATCGGCGAATGGTTGGAGCAAGCCATGTGGGCCCACGATGTTTGGTCCTTTTCGGAATTGTATATAACCTAGAATTTTACGTTCCACTAGTGCTAGGAATGCAACAGCTCGGAAGATAGGGAGAACAGCGTTAGGATGTTAACTATAAACATTTTGTTGGGGAGAGGATTTGAACCTCTGGGTGTAAAAGTTTAACTTTTATGCAATTGCCGTACTCTGCCACCTCAACAAAGCCCTGGTCTTGGGCAGGTATATTTGCGCTAGTTTTAAGTTGAGATTGGGTCACTAATTGTTTGAAGGCGCTTGTTTGAAGTTGGCCTTATTTCTCTTGTCCTTTCGTACTGGGAGAAATGCGTAATAGAAACCGACCTGGATTACTCCTCTGAACTCAGATCACGTAGGACTTTAATCGTTGAACAAACAAACCCTTAATAGCTGCTGCACCATTAGGATGTCCTGAACCAACATCGAGGTCATAAACCCTATTGTCAATATGGACTTTAGAATAGGACTGCGCTGTTATCCCTAGCGTAACGTTCCGTTGATCAAAATTTTGGGTCAATAAGTGATACTATGCTTTGGTTTGTAGGCCTAGGCTTTAATCACTCGGAGGTTTTTTTGTACTCTGAGGTCACCCAAACCGAAACTGTCAACCCATATAAAGCTTTGTTATCCCGTGAATCTCCATAGGGTCTTCTCGTCTTATTTTGTTATCCCCGCCTCTTCACGGGGAGGTCAATTTCACTGATTAAAAGTAACAGACAGTAAAACCCTCGTGTGGCCATTCATACAAGTCCTTATTTAGAGAACAAGTGATTATGCTACCTTTGCACGGTCAGGATACCGCGGCCGTTTAACGATTTTCACTGGGCAGGCAGTGCCTCTAATACTGGTTATGCTATAGGTGATGTTTTTGGTAAACAGGCGGAGTTTTTGTTCGCCGAGTTCCTTTTACTTTTTTTAATCTTTCCTTAATACACGCCTATGTTGGGTTAACAGTGTGTTTAATAAATAATTTAGTGTTGGGTTATATTTATTAACTGTTAATTATCAGTATATTATCAGTTACTGATGTAAGTTTGTGCGAGGAGAAAAATTTCTTGTTACTCATGTTAACAGTATTACTTCTATAGTTGAATTGATTAATCCAATAGTCAGGCCAGGCGTTGATTTATTTATTGTTGAAATTAAAACGTAGTTTTGTTGTTGAGCTTGAACGCTTTCTTAATTGGTGGCTGCTTTTAGGCCAACTATGGTTTAAGTTTATAGTACCCCCTAGTAAACGTATCCATTTCTAAAAAGCTGTACCTTTATAGACTAACAATTAAATATACATTAAGACTTGATGTGGTTTTTAGTATTATTTAATGTTGAACTGAAATTCCTTTCTTGGACAACCAGCTATCACTTAGGCTCGTTAGGCTTTTCACCTCTACTTATAAGTCTTCTCACTATTTTGCCACATAGATGAGTTTGTTCTAGTTACTGCTTGTAAGTAGCTCGTCTGGTTTCGGGTAATTTAGCTTAAGGTCTCTTTGCTAAGTTATTACTAGTTAAGTCATTATGCAAAAGGTACAAGGAGTAAGCTTTGCTTTTTTTTAACTTTTAATATTTTTTTCATTTTTCCCTTATGGTACTTTCTCTATAGCGCCATTGGTGGTTAAATTTCTATCATCTCCTATACTTTAGATGTATGGTGAATGATTTATTTGATTAGTTTATGGTACTAGCGGTGGGGAGGGTATGGGCTAGGTATAGTTCAAGATATACACGGATTGTGGAATCTTCTAGGTGTAAACTAGATGCTTTGTTTATGCTATATCTTGTTTTATCCAAGCACACTTTCCAGTATGCTTATCTTGTTACGACTTGTCTCGTATAATTGCTTAGCATAGGTTAGTGAACTGGGGTTTTGCTGTGATACTGCTTGAGGAGGGTGACAGGCGGTGTGTGCGTGCTGCATGGCCTTATTCAATTAAGCACTCTGCTCTTAATATACTACTAAATCCTCCTTTAGTTTTTAGATTTCATAAAAACTTTCGTGTGGATATAAGGGGTGTTCTTATTATAGAAAATGTAGCCCATTTCTTCCCATCCCATATAGGTTACACCTTGACCTAACGTTTTTATGTATGGTAGTTATGCTTACTTTTGTTCCCTTTTAGGGTTTGCTGAAGATGGCGGTATATAGACGGAAGTAGCAAGGATTGGTGAGGTAAATTGGGGTTTATCGGTTACAGAAAAGGCTCCTCTAGAGGAATATGAAGCACCGTCAAGTCCTTTGAGTTTTAGGCTGCTGCCAGTAGTACTCTAGCGAATAGTCTTGTTTGGGGACTACTTAAATTTACGACTAAGCTTAGTGGAGTATCTAATCCCAGTTTGGGATTAGATTAGTTGTCGTGTATTCAGATTGTACTAATGTCACTTTCGTGGTTTAGCTTAGTTTTAATTATGGCTTTTTACAGCTTAATTGGGATTTGACTTTATTTTGTATGGTTCCTTAACACTCTTTACGCCGGGTCTCTATTAATTTGGGTCAATCGTATGACGGCGGTGGCTGGCACGAAGTTTACCAACCCTAGCTAACATGACTTAGTCAAACTTTCGTTCATGGCTTAATTTTTATCACTGCTGTGTCCCATGGGGGTGTGGCTAAGCAAGGTGGCGTGAGTTGTTAGTGTTGCGTGCTTGATACCCGCTCCTTTTGATCTTTGTGATTTGGAGGGCATTCTCACCGAGGTGTAGATGCTTGCATGTGTAAGTCTGTTAAGAACTAATAGAAAGGCTGGGACCAAACCTTTATGTTGATGGGGCTGGCGAAGCCCATCTAGATATTTTCAGTGTCTTGCTTTATGAAAAATTTAAGCTACATTAACCTGTGGAGTTTAAAAGATGTTCGTGTAATTTCATTATGGGGCTTGTGTCAGATAGTATTGATTACGAAAAATATATTTGTAGATCTAGGGACGAAGCTGTCTAGGGGGGTGGTGAATATCTAAGCAGATGGTCAGTTTTGTAGGGGGTGAGGGGGTTTTGATCCATTACGAGATACAGTTTTTTGAGCCCAGGGGGAATAGTGGAGTACTATGTCCTGTAACCATTAATTTAAATGCACATGTTGGTTGTGCTAGTCAAATCAAAAATACATACAAGTCCAGCTACAATTTGCTTGACTGTGACGAGACCTTTTAAGGTCATAGCTGAGTCTGTGCAGGCCCCCCCCAAACCATAAAAAATACCAAATGTATGGAATCTCAGTTATGTGTGAGCATGGGCTGATTAGTCATTAATCCATCAAGATGTCTTATTTAAGGGGAACGAGTGGGCGATTTTACGTTAAAATGGTCCTGAAGTAAAAACCAGATGTTTTATAAAGATCACCGTTAGCTACCATCCCCTATTTGAATACACCTCTGTTAGAACTGAGATCAGTTGAGAGGAAATAGAGACAGCAATGGCTGGTATTGACCGTAGAGGAGGCCACTTCATTCATTGGGTGATGCTGGGAGGAGGATAGAGTTGATAAGTATAAATGAAGCTTTTCCTCTTTGCCTTCTCCCCCAGTGTGTTTGCTCTTCCAGGGTGGCCTCCACTGGATTCAGTGTGCATCCTCAATGTGTCCTGGGCACTCAGCTGGCGATTGCAGTGTGGGTGGCCACCAGAGAGAAGACAGACACAAGAATGCTGCTGGGTAAACTGAGCTATCTAGTAGCCCTGTTGCGTTTCATGGTCCCCTAGTTACGGAAAACTAACAGCATAATGATAATTTTTAAAGTTCCGTAGTGAATATCTTGGAGATACATGTAGCTTTCTGCATTCTATGGTGATTCATCTGGAAGTTGCTAATCAGGCAGTAAAATTTAATTCCAATGCACAGTCTTCATAAGAATGTGAAATACAAAAAAAATTATTAAAAAACAGCGTTTCATTAAGCTAAGCTATTGAGTGCATAGGTCTCTGGTGAGTGAATAATAAGGAAATGAAATAACGTTTACTAGAAGTAAATACTCATGTCAGTTAAACGAACGCACCGTTATCTTCAGGTCATAGAATCTGGATAGCTTTTGACCTAAGGTACTGAGGGTATAATGTCCATTTACTGCATGAGGCTCGTCTTCCTCAGCTGTCCATCTTGGATCCACAGAGCTCCTCCCTCCTTGCTCCTCTGAACCAGTGGTCATGCTCACCGCAGACACATTAGCATTCAGACTTATTTACTGCTCTACTCTTAGATTCTGCCATTTCCACAGGGACCTCCCCTCAGGCCAACTTCTTAAGGCAGAGCCTCACCTTGATTGTAGCAGGTGCACCCTGCTCTGTTGTTAGGCATGGATACCGTATTCATTTCTCTTTTCCCCTCGGTACAGCAAGCTTCACTGGCAGTCAGCCACATCTGCTTTTTTCCACTGCATGTCGTTTTTTGTTGAGGGCCTAGACAGAATGGGTGCTCTCTATATATTTACAGAATGATTGAAAGAGTGGAAGAAAACACCTACACTCCAGTGAAATCTAGGTTGGAATAGAGGGCAGTTGAAAATAGGAAAAGATTGGCTAAAAAAGCCACTTTCTGTCATTCTTGGTCAGGTAGAATTCAAATTAATTTCCCAGATAATAAAATTTCTGTTCCTGATGAAAATCCAATACGAAAAAAATTCAGTTATATTCCTTTTATTAACCAAAGGCACACTTAGAAATTCTGTGATCAGCAACTCTAAAACGTTTTGCCTTATATGCTCCATAATCCAGTGGAGTTTATCTCAGGTATGCAAGGATTCTTTAATATATGCAAATCAATCAATGTAATAAAGCATATTAACAAATTAGAGAAAAACAATATGACCATCACAATAGATGCAGAAAAAGCTTTTAACAAAATTCAACACATATTTATGATAAATACTCCCCAGAAAGTGGTCATAGAGGGAACCTACCTCAACATAACAAAGGCCATATATGACAAACCCACAGCAAGTATGATAAGGGTGAAAAACTGAAAATATTTCCTCTAAGATCAGGAATAAGGCAAGGTGGCCCACTCTCACCACTATTATTCTACATAGTTTTGGCATATTTAGCCACAGCAATCAGAGAAGAAAAAGAAATGAAAGGAATACAA